GCACCAAGCTCCCAACTTCCCGCCTGGGTCCTGCGCCGGCTCCTGCCTCCCGCACGCCCCGGACCTCCGCGCCGCTCCCGCCGCCGGAAAGCCCTCATCGATGTTTCTAACTCTCTATTCCTCTCCCTCTCTGTAAAAAATCAATAAAATAAAAATATTCTCCAACTTTTTTGGAAGGGGCCTTATCAGGCGCCTAACTACAAATGGACATCTGTCCCTGTCTCTGACACCTCTGCCTACCACAGACACCAGACACCTCAAGGATGAGAAGCCATTGACTTCAGCAGTAGATTGCTATCCCAAGAGACTGACAAGGCCTGGTACTTACGGATTAATGTTTAACTCAAACTATTTTGTTTGATTGTCTTTACTTGTCTGCCAATAATATTAGTTATAATAATACTTATGCTTGTTCTTTGGGTTTTTCTATATAGTACATTTGTTTATTATTACTGATATGTTATACCAGCTGCAAAATGTAGAAAAATGAGACATAGCAAAACTCCAATAATGATAGTTCACAGCATAAAAATGATCCAATGTTTTTCTCAATGAAATCCATAAGGCCTGGCTTCCATTTACCTGCCCCTCCTTTTTTTTGGAAAAAAATCAGTCTCAACTCACCGATGGTTATGGTATTGCCCCATTACCAGTGGTCCACCATTTCAACCACAAGACTTCCTAGCACTGTGAGACCATACCATCTAACCAAAAGGTTTGTAACCAATGCATTCTTCAGATTGATTTTTGACCAACAGGGGAAATTACGGGTGAAAAACGTGTTCTATAGAAAGTAACCTCACAGGGAGATCTGGTTATAAATTTGTAACGGTGAGTAGTCATACTCCAGGAATATAACTTTAATAAAACATTTATCTTTGCTGTAAGCAAGCCCTGTGCATGTAGGTTACCACAACTTTGAAATGCCAGTAATCCTTTTTTGAAACTTCTGGAAACAAAACCATCCTCAAGAGGGCACATAATTTTGTTAACTATCCTCTAATCCAATCCCTACCTTGCTTTATCCCACCTTCATGTAATCTTCCTTTGTTCCCTCCTTAATTCCAAATGCATAAGAAACTGCAAAGTGTTATTCTAAGAAGCATTTTTCTCAGTCTGTTGAGATTTTGCCTTCAGGTATATTCTGTTTTGCTCAAGAAAATTTTTATAAAATTCTCTACGGTTTGGACATTCTTACATGACAGATGTCAGTGGGAGAAGGCAAAGGAGAAATAGCTGCCAGCTATGTTCTATTTGGTTTCAAATGATAGCAGCACCAGCATGCATTTTCTCCTGGGAGTCTGTTTCTGTTGTTTATACATGAGTCTTCACGTGCCCATTGCCAGGCAGATAAGATATGCTAAGAGAGTTCAGATTTTTGATACCTGGCAGTTTAAAAGCTACTCTTTCGAGATCTGAAGAAACACCAAACCCTTTTTCTCCTCCTCTTCCTCCTCCTCCTCCTCCTCCTCCTTCTCCTCCTCCTCCTCTTCCTCCTCCTTCTTTTTCTTCTTCTCTTCCTCCTCCTCCTCCTCCACCACCTCCTCCTTCTTCTTTTTGCTTATAAACAATAGAAATTTATTTATCACATTCCTAGAGGCAGGAAATCTTATGAGTACCAGCTTGGTTGGGCAAGGGTCCTTTTACAGATCTAGTGTTAGGGGCAGAATAGAATAGCTACAATTATAAGAAATATGAATCATGCTCTGTTAACTGTGATTTTTCTGTTCTGATTAGACAAAACATATTCTAACCTGGCTGCGAGTTATATGCCCTGGGACATGGGAGCTAACATTGGAATGCAGTCCAATCTCCTTTCCTGAGAACTGCCTACCATCATGGAATGATTTATAACCTTGCGGCTGAAACAATCTAGTCCCAGAGGCACCCTCCAGCCTGTCCTTTGCAACCCTCAGCCCCTATGGCCTGTAATCTGGTGGTGGTGGTGGTGGGGCAGAGGTGCCCGCCCTCTACAACCTTCCCAACCTGCTGCCTTGCCTGTGACCTATAACGATTACGCCATGCCTACTTTTCCATGCCTGTATTTCTTACTTTCCCACAAATCTTTGTCCTTCTATCCAATATAAGCAGCTGGCATATGGGAAGGACAGAGCAGATTTTTGTGGATGACCTGCTGCTCTCCCATACTGCCAGCAGTATTGGAATAAATGCTCATATATGATTCAAACCACCTCTGCTTAATTGGCTCAAGCAGTGACAGGCAGCCCGGACCCCTGGGTTGTCTGATTACATCATCTGGCAACTCTGGTGGGACACAAGTGGGGAGTCCTCTTGGGTGACTACTGGGGATCCACTTGGTGCCTGGACTGCGGTTTCCCAGAGCTGAGGCATGGACTCTTCATTTTCAGCACTGCCAGGAATTTTCCTGTTTTGAGTCCCAGCAATCCCCATCATTTTACCTAAGAACTAGGTTGAGCCAAGCACTCTGTAATTCTGTAACAGGGAAGTCAGTTGTCTGTTACCACCCTCCATCCCACTTCACCCTCAGTCTCATGAGCCTGATCAGTTCCTAGTTGCAAATGGCCTCTCCTTGCCTTGGCCCCACACCTGAGCCTGATCTGCTCAGGGTTGAGACAACATTATCTGGCTGTGCACGGTAAGGTCTGGCTCTGCACGGTAAGCCACAGATGGTTGTCTATCTGTTATGTGCACTTGTAAATACTGTACATTAGGGTGCTTTTTGCCTGGTGTAATTTTGCCTGTAATCTTGCTTAAATTGTTCAAGGATGGGTGCTGGTTACTCAATCCAAAAAGACACTCCATTGGAATGGATCTTGTGGGGTTGGGTAATTGGCTGAAACAATCTAATCCCAGAGGCACCTACCCGCCACCCTGCATTACCTGTAACCTGTAACCATTATACCTTGTCCATTTTCCCATTCCTGTAATCTTACTTTCCCATGTAATCTTTGCTTTCCTACCCATATAAGCAGCTGGCTTATAGGAAGGGGCAGAACAGATTTTTGTGGATGACCTGTTGCTCTCCCATACTGTCTGCAATACTGGAATAAATGCTCATATATGATTCAACCCGTCTCTGATTAATTGGCTCAAGCAGTGCTGTAATGACTGAAACAACCAGTCGCTATGATGCCCAGTGTAGCCAGCCAACTGCCCCATCAGAGGGTGGGGCTGCCGGCCAATCCCCTCTCCCCCCCTCCCCACCAGCCCCACTCTTGATCAAACCCCCCCCCCCCCCCATAGGAGGCAGGGTGGCCAGCCAACCTTATCTAGCCCCACCCCTGGCTGGTCCCGCCCCCAATGGACCCCACCACCATGATGACCAGCAGCCCCCCCCCCCCCAATAGGGGGTGGGGTCCACTGGCCAATCGCCTAGGCCCCTTCCCCCAGCTGTCAGGCCTTGACTGGGTCCTGATTGAGGCAGGACAGCCAGTCTCCTACCATCTCCTCTCCTACTTCCCCCCTCCCCCACAGGCCCAGCCCCAATCTGCCCCAATGGGGACCGGGCAGGCTGGACCCCACCCGTGTAGGAATTGGTGCACTGGGCCTCTAGTAAGTAAATAATGAAAGTGGAACCACCAAGGAACTCACTCAAGCAAGGGTCCTCTGCTGTTGCAACCCAGGGAAAATATTTCTCCTAAGAAAATTTTAAGAAAAATACAAGTAAGTCAAAATTAATCTTCCCCCAAGATACAGTGTTCTCTCAAAGTCTCTTCCTTCTTTTCTGAAGGTACACTCTGTTCTGGAGCAGAAGCTAGGACACCAGTTCCAAGATAAATGGGGTTCCCCCTCTCCATTTAATCTTATGAAAGAGCTGCCAATTCTCAAAATTCCTCCTTTGATGAGAAGATAAAGTCGAACAATGCTGTGAAACTAAGGGAATTCCTAAGGGACATTCCTCTAGGGTGTGTAAAGCCTGCTTGGAAGTGTGTGTGCTTAGAGGGGGTTGGACAGTTAGGAATAGGAAGGGTGGTGGGACTGGAGTTGGTAGTCAGTTGCTTCTAAACTTTTCGCAGAATAACAACTCGATCCAATCTCATCTCCTGGGAGGTGTAGGCACAGCTATTACAGCAATTAGAGAACTGCATCCACTTCAAATCCTCAAATCCTCCCGGCTCCCCAACCGCCCCTCAAGAAAGAAAGAAAGAAAAAAAATTAGATTTCTTTCCTATTATGTGTTGGAGATAAGCTTCTCCTTATAGACTTCTCACAAATTTAGGGGGGGGGGGGGCGCTCAAACCACTGTACCACATTAGATTGTGAATATCTGGAAGGAGCAAACACCTTTCTCTTACGGTTTAAGGGAAATATCTTGTAAAAATGCTATGGATTGAAGTTAGTACCCAATTTGAATCGTGTCCCCCGTCTCATCATCTGTACATGTGGATAAGTTTCCTACCTGCTGGACATGGTTATGTAAATTTTGTCATCTAACATTTGAGGGCACACCGCTTTAGACGCATTCTCTCATTCAGTGGTCATAAGAAAGGTATTCTGGAGATTGTATGTGAAGATAGTTGGTTACGTAGAAAAGAAACCACTGGCTGGGACTTACTGGGCTTCTTATCTTTACCCGGCTGTGGTGAGGATTAAATGAGCACTTTATTGGCCCCCTAACCACACACCCTACCAGCACCCGCTCCGCCGTGAGAAATCAGTAAGTGTTATCTGGTCTGTTCCTTTCAGTCTTCCGACCGCAAACTAATCTCGGCGCGGCCCGGGGTGGAGACCGCGAATCCCGCAGCCGCCGGGACGGAGAACCAGCACGGAGTCCCCGAGAGGGCGCGGACACAACCGAGCACGTCCGCGGCTGGCGGGGCTTTGGAGGCCCGGCCAGAGTCCGCGGAGGCCCCGCTCCGCTCTCTGGGGCCGAGGCGCGAGGCGTCCAGAGTTCGCGCCACATTCCCGGGTGGAAAAGCCAGACCCAGGCTCCCACTCTCCGCGCTGGCACCTCGCAGGACGCGCCCAAGCCCCGCCCCGCTGCCTCAGGTAGGCCGTCCGCACCAGCCAATCCGCAAAGCCGCCCGACCGGAAGTGACGTTTATGCTCGGCTGGCCGCGGAGTCCGCCGAAGCTTTCCGCGGCGGCTGAGGCAGCTGAGCGGAAAATGGCTCGGATAGTGGCTGCGGAGGCTCGGGTTGTGGTGGAAACGGAGGCTCAGGCAGCGTGAGGTGAGGAGCGGCGGGGGCGGCGGGGGCTGGTGCCTGGGTGGAACCCAGCTCCGCCAGGGCGGCGAGGCCCCCCCACCGGGGATTCCGGGATGGAAGGGTCCCTGCCGCGGCCGCCGGTCCCGCGGCTGCCCGCCTCTTGACCCTCCATCCCGCCCTCTGGACGCTGCCCCAGCCCGACTCACCTCCCTCCGGGCCTGGCTTCCACCCGGGCCATCGCCGACTGCCCCGCCGAAGGTGCGAGGGGCCTGCGCCCCTCCCAGGCCCTCTGATCGGGACCTGGGGCGGGGGGCTGGGAGTTAGGTTAGCCCCAAAGGGAAGGAAAGGCCGCCCCTTGTCCCTGGGGACCGGGCTGGAGTGTCTGTGGTTTTCCTCAACGAAATGTGAAGTGGTTGAGCCTTGCGACTTGTGTATTAATTACACTTCTCGCTTTATGTTCTCTCCCCTCTCCCCCTTTTCACCTTGTTGTCCCTCCCACCTCGGGCTTTGAGGGCTAAGGATTCTTCTTTTTTTTTTTTTTTACCCCACTTCCCCGAGATTGCCCCCCCCCCCCCCCTTTTTTTTCTTTTTCCTTTTTGCGCGAAACCACTTGCTTGGGGGAAGACTGTTTATTTCAGTGTGTATTTAGCGCATCGTCTTTCTGGGAGGGCGGGCCGACGAACTTCCTGAGTGACGGAGGAACAATAAATAATTGAAGGGGGAGTGGGGAAGCGGCACATACTTATTTCCCTCACTTCATGGTTTGGCTTTAAGAGGAGGTTCTCTGGCTGTGGAATTCTTTTCGGAAGTGGCGAGCTGGGCTTGAGAAGGGAAATGAGGAAGGAAGTAAACTGAGCGAGGAGGAAAGTCTGGAGATAAGGAGCGTGGAAGAGTCTGCGGTAGTTCTTTCCCTGGAGTCTCCTGAGAGAAGGGGAGGCTGCAATTATATTTTTATTTGTAACCGTGGGCGTTGAGGGTCAGGAAAAGAGGCCTTCCTCTTTGAACCAGATTACCTATTAAAGAGATAGCCTGAAATCTTTCCAGGCGGTGTTAGGCAATTGGGAAGATTATTATTATTATTAATATTATTTATTTATTATTTATTTACTTACTTATTTAACAAATCGGGAGCATCCAAGCCATAGGTGAGAAGAGATTCAGACAAAAGAAAGCTGTTGGAAGAGGGGCGAAGACAGTTTAAAGGGGGAAGGCTGCACGTGAGGAGGTCCCGGAACACCGATTCCAGGAGAAGCTGTACCTTTGCCTCCTTGACTTGTGGCCAGGCCTCCCGAGGAGAGACTTAGCAGCTCTGCCGTAGCAGTTGAGGTTGGTGCTCTTATTCCTGGTGGCAAATTAGACCGAAGCGCCTTAGTTGAGGTCATTGAGCACTGAAAAGCATTATGACTGAATGAAAATAGAAATTTTATTAGCTAACTCAAACTTAATTCGAAAGTGATTTTTATGTCGGTACAAAGCACATACAGAGATTCCACAAGTTATTTTTTTGCCTAAGTTAACAGATTCTAGAGTAATTTTTTAAATGAAAATCTCTGAATCTCTGTTGCTATTTGTATGGTGCTTGCCATTTTTCTTGGCAAGCAATAGATTTTAATGTTTTCAACCATAAGTTTCACAGTTTTTTCTTCTGTTTTATAGAATATGAAAGTTGGCACGCTTGCAATTAGGAATTTTAGAAACTATTATGTAATTAGCTGTCTATTAACATATGATTGTTTCTCCCTTCAGCCATCAATGGTTCCAGAATTTTAAATTAATTGAAGATGGTAGTATCAGTTCCCAGGTGTAGGAATCTTTCTTTCATCTTGCACAATATTCTTACTTAATAAGCTCATTCAGTAAGCGAACTTATACCTAATGAGGGTGTTGGATTTCCCAAGAGCTCAGACTTCTTATCAGAGCATCAGACCAAACTTTTCAGAGCAGTAGTGCAGAGCATTTTTTTAATGCTTTATAACTTGCCTTGTTTTGATAATACAAATTAACCATTTTATTATAAATTTGCCATATTCTAAAAAGCACTTAAGACAAGTAAATGATAAAGGTGAATGTGTTAGTGCTGTGCATTCATATAGTACATGTTTTGATTTGTTAGCAGTAGGGCTGAAACTACTCTGTGAAAGATCTTATTGTTTTCAGGGGCCCTTTAAGGGTGCCTGGCACTCCAGTGGTTCCAGGGATAGAAAAATGAATGAGACAGTGCTCGTTCTCAAGTTCTCTAGTTTATCTGGGGGAGACAAACACCCAAATTATAACACTATGGTTTTAAGGACAGTAGTAGACCCAAGCAGTACTACTAAAAAGGATATGATCACCTGACTGGGAGATGGAGATGGACTGAGTACATTCTTTGTAAGTGTACATTTTACACTTACAACACATTTCATCTGGGACCATCCACATTTCAAACACTCAATAGTTGCACATGGTTCATAGCTATCATATTGGACAGTGCAGATCTAAAGTATAAAAATTCTGCTTTTCTATTTTAGATTCCTGCTTGAAAAGCAAAATGTGAAAGTCATTTCTAATTTGTAATCATTTTGATAGTATTCATCCATGATGCTTTTTTTTATTGGCATTGTGGTCATATTTGGAAATGATATTGCTGTAGGGTGTCTTTCAGGTTGTTCATATGGAACTAGAAGAAACTGTTTACCTTGTCTCTGTGAAGGAGTCACATTTTTTATATCTTTATTTTGTGCCTTTATATTTTGTATCTGTTCTTTACAACATGTGATGGATTCAAAATACAATAGGAGTGTACACATGGACATTTTAGGCAGTTAAGGAGATATATGTAATTTAAACGACCTTTTAGTCCAGCTAGCCCAGTGTTTGAGCTTCAATCCATGAACCAGGAGGTCACTTGGGTTTGATTCCCTGATCAAGGCATATGCCTAGATTGCATGATTTACCCACAGTTGAGGGCTTAAAGGAGGCAGCTAACAGATGTTTCTCTCTCATGGATGTTTCTATCCCTCTCCCTTTATCTCTAAAATCAATTAAAAACACCACCCACATATTAAAAAAAAAAAAACACCTTCCATATGTCTTAAAATTTTAAGTTCAGCTATTTAGTTATAAAAGGGAGTGAGATTTTTAAACATTCTTGATTTTTATTAATTTGAAGGCTTAGCAAGTATTTCTTTTTTAAGCATTTACATAAGATACTATATAATTAGCATCCTTACTCTTAAGCATATATATTAGTATTATATATTACAACAGTTCAATTATTTATGTAAATAATGTACAATGTTGATACACTTAATTTACTAATCATTGAGTTTGGTTTAAAAAGCACACACACAAAACACCAGAGCCTTATGTTAAACAAGTACCTATGACTAACAGTGATAAAGTAAATAATATCCTGGTATTTTTATTGATTACTGATTATAACTTATCTGATGCGTTTTACCTTCACAGACTTTATTTTCTGTGAGTAAACAAGGCAAGTCTTTTACAATTATTTTTTTTAAATTTTTATTGATTTCAGAGAAGAAAAGAGAGGGAGGGGGAGATAGAAACATCAGTGATGAGAGAGAATCATTGATTGGCTGTCTCCTGCACACCCCCTATTGGGGATCGAGCCTGCAACCTGGGCATGTGCCCTGACCAGGAATGGAACCATTACCTCCTGGTTCATAGGCCGATGCTCAACCACTGAGATGTATCAGCTGGGCTTTTTTCTTTTTATATCTTTTATTGATTTCAGAGAGTAAAGGAAAGAGATAGAGAGAAACTTCAATGATGAGAGAGAATCATTGATTGGCTGCCTCCTGCACGCCCCCCACTGAGGGGAGAGGGGTTGAGCCCACAACCCGGGCATGTGCCCTTGGCCAGAATTGAACCTGGGACCTTTTAGTCCGCTAGCCAAGGCTCTATCCACTGAGCCAGACCGGTGAGGGCCCAGCTGGGCTTTTTTCTCATTTTGTTAAAGAGGAAAACGAGGCCCAGTGAGGTTGTAACTATTTAGCATAATACATTAGAGGCACTGCTTAAACACTGTCTTACAATATTTTTTTCAGTGCATCTCTTCATATACTGTAGTACTTCATTGTTTAGTTGCATAGCACTTACCAGATTTTGAAATGTATAAAATAATGGATACTTCCTACCTTTTGGGAGTTTATATTCCACTTAGAAGAGACCATCTACAAGTAGTTATAAAAACTTTTTAATGGGAAACAAAAACTATAAAGGGATAGTATGGGTACTTTTTAAAAAGATGAGAGTTAACGAGGCAAGATTTTTTTAATAACGAATTTAGATTTTTTTAAACATATATTTTTATTGATTTTAGAGAGGAAGGGAGGGAGATAAAAACATCAATGATGAGCCAAAACCGGTTTGGCTCAGTGGTAGAGCGTCGGTCTGCTGACTGAGGAGTCCCGGGTTCGATTCCGGTCAAGAGCATGTGCCTTGGTTGCGGGCACATCCCCGGTGGGGGGTGTGCAGGAGGCGGCTGGTCGATGACTCTCTCTCATCGATGTTTCTAGCTCTCTACCTCTCTCCCTTCCTCTCTATAAAATAGCAATAAAATATATTTTAAAAAAAAAAAAAACATCAATGATGAGAGACAATTATTGATTAGCTGCCTTGAGCCTGCAACTCAGGCATGTGCCCTGACCAGGAATGGAACTGTGCCCTCCTGATTTTTAGTTTGAGGCTCAACCACTAAGCCATGGTGGCTCTGACAAGAATTTAGGTCCTAAAGGGTTGATGTAGGAAAAGGTGATGAAGTGTCAAGGACAGAGTTATTTCAATGCACAGAGAACAACTTGGGGGGAAATTTAGATAAGAGGAAATAAATAAGGAAGGATATGCAAGCTTTATTTGAAAAGATAAGGACAGGACATAGGTGAGGTAAGAGATGAGAATAAATAGACATCTGCTATAAAAAATTTAGAGGCCAATGGCACGATTTTATATTATCTGGATGATTAGGGAAATCTTAGCACAGGCTTTGAACTCGTGGCTTGAGTAGTATGGAAGACACG